CTACACTTCACAGTGGATCAGCATTTCTAGTTGTGTATGAAGTTGGCTTCATTGTCTGTTCCAAGTTAAAATCAGCATTATTCCCAACGATGCCCACAGCAGCTGCAATGCAGCACGAGCAAAGAAAGAATAAAATGCAGTAATTCAAACCATTCTTTCCCAGTAAAGAGATCCACAATTTCCTCAGATTTTTCTTATTAATGGCTTGCCCCTTCTGCTCTAATGTTTCTATAAAAGACTCAGTAATTCAGAAGCAGATGTAATTATTCACCATTGGGGGGTAAAAAGTAAACAGATACCAGTAAGGACTCTTGAAACTCAGGAAAAAAAAGAATGTTTAATTAGCATATAGGCACAACACCGTGCCTGATATGCCTTACTAACAATACAAAGCAATAACCTCAGGTCAAAAGATAAGTTACAATACATGCAAAAACATCTGGATTGTGCACTAAGTAACATGTTAGATATAGTTACACCTGTCAAATAAACATACATCTATTCTCCTAAAGAACAGAACTTCAGAGACTATTTCAAAAGTAAAGGTACAACGAAACAACCATCGTTGAGCAGCATATTTGACACAAAGCATCCTACACAGAGACATTTGACCTTTGGAGGCAAAAAATGTAACAGGCAAATAGCTGAGAGCCAGATCCCCAAATACTTATGAAAAGCTCTCAGTGAAGCCTAAGGTATTATCAGAATGAGGTCTGAAGGATTTTGCCCTTAATGAATAACAATTGTGAGTGGATAAAAATGTCTCTATGTCAGTGAGAATTTTAAATCATACATCTAAGTTTAATGTTGCTGATAAGAGTGAAAGGAAGAAAAACTGAATACCGATACAAATAAAACAATGTTTTTGTATAAACCTTAAAATAAATAATTTTTATGAAGGAAAATTTGGGATAATGAACATGTCCTGAAATCAAAATCAACGTTGTTAAAGTTAATAAATACTTTAAATAGTTAAGTTTCTTTTTATCCTACAGAAAAATAATCAGTATTAAGAACTAGAAAAGCAGAAAGAGGATAGAGACCTCTTCCTTACTTTTAAATAAGGGTGGTCAGTCCCAGTATCATTTTTCACTATTAAGCTACATGTTTGTGTATTACAGGATTAGCCAAAAGAAAGGGAGAGAATATACACTTACAGCCACTGTAAATTCAGCCGATTTTTTTTTTTCTTGCACGTGATGACTAACCACAGGCTCAATCCACTAAAAATACTGGTGAATTTAGTGACGGAAGGACAGGGATGGGGGGGACTGAAGGCTGGGGTGAAGGCAACTCTAACCCCATATCAGCGTGTGACAAGTGCTCTCTGTCACATGGAAGGGGACGTGTCTGTGCTTCTGCCCAGGTTCCCAGATCACTACGGGCTGAGTCCAGGCTGATACTTATGCAATAAAAAAATACTGCAAATCTCCCCTCGGACTTTGCTGGCAACTGTGCTCACTGCCAAACCAGTGGGTGAAATATGCTATCCCCATTGCAGCTAGCCAGCCTGTACACCCTGAGGCGTTTTTGTCTGGAGAGTGCCGAAGGGAGCAACCCCTCCAACGTGAGAACTGCTGTCACATCCGACTGGCGCAGCAGGGCTGAGGAACTCAGAAAGGCAAACAGATAAGTGCTTCAGCTGTTCTCTTTCTTATGCATCCTGAATCACCTGGGCTTTTTCATCTCCAATTGCAGAAAAGCAAGTCTGCTCTGCTTCCACGGCGTAAAAGCTACAACAGACAAGATCCTAAAAGACAGCAAGATGCCAATTACAAAGTCCTCACTTGGAGATTCTTTCCCTACCAGAGGGAAACAGCGGGTGTTTTATGACTGGGATTTCTATCCGTATATATTATATGGCTGTGGTGGAGTGGCACAAGGAAGCAGGTAGCAAGGAGCTCCACAGTCCCTGTGAGCTGCACAGGGAGATCACTGCACAAGCTGGTTATATCGATGTACTAGGCAAAGCCTCATGTAAAGCAGGTTGCTGCTGCCTATGAACCATTGCCATAGCTCAAACACTGCAGTAGTGCTGCAGCAGAGGCACTCGGGACACTTACGCGTGACGTGCACAACCTGGCTGTGGGGCAGACACACTGCTCTACACCCGCTGTGTAGGATTTCTGCAGAACAGCTGTTCCCAGCCTTGGCTAGGGCTGTAACGCTGGCTAGGGCTGTGGACAACAAGATGCGTGCTCACTTCTTTGAGCAGTCACCCTCTGTATTTTAATGAACACATTGTATCTTCAACCTAAAAGATTAATATTAGTCATCATCAAATCAAACATTACTAGGACCATAGCCTTTTGTTTGTTTTTTGTTTGTTTGTTTGTTTTTGTTGCTCTTGAACACAAATCCAGTTCCTAATTACTCTAGTGAATCTAATCTAAATTGTGCCATTGACCCAAGAGGTAACTTTTGGTGTATAAATAGCATATGCTTTTCCGGGGGGGCTGAACTACCACATTGTCTACTGATTTTAAGATACAGATGCACCTTTGAAAAAAATCCACGTCTAATCCTTTGTCTTCCTCTCTGTCCATTTGTAATACTGCAGCACAAGCACAGCACCATCCCTGCGTATTGCAAGCGTTAAAATGCATTGAGTGTTTTGAAACGCTAAAAAACCGATATACACACATGTATACACGAACTGTGAAAAGAGTAAGATGAAGAAGTGTACCCTGTAGCCCTAAGAACATCAGGGAAGTTTGGTAAAATGGGGTACAGGCAGATAAAGTAGCAGTTAATAGCACACAACAGAGATGCCAATTTGATGTTGACAGTTGTTACATGTTTTCTTTGTTAACAGAAAAACAATAAAACCAAGTTAAAAAAATCTATTTTTGAACCACTTTTTCCCTGTGTCTTCATTACTTCAAAGGGTTTTATGAAACTACCTTACGGTAACTGCTTTTGTACAGAAAATACACAGTAAGTTGGTTTTGTGGTCCAAATAAGCCATGCTTTTTTTTTTTTTCTTTTCGTATCATGGATTGGGATGCAATCAGCTTCTTGTCAGTCATTAGTGAAAAGAACAAGCACACTTTTGACAATAAAAAGCTTCTATAAGTAACATTTTCCAGGTTCACGTCTACAACAATCATCAGCCAGAACTATTTAAAATGTTTCTGGAACTTACTATTCTGCTGGTGTCTGCTTTTATAATTGAGGAGTTTTCCAGTACTTGTGATGTTTCCTCATGCACTTATTTACAAAGAGATGGTCCTTGTGGGGAACAACCTAAACAAAATTTACAGTTGCTAAGGTACATTTATAAATGCTAGCAGTTACTCTCAGACAGAATGAATGGAATTTATTGGGCAACTCTGGGCTTGGCTAGTAATATAATTAAAGTACAAATAAACACAAAAACCACAAGCCAGGCAGATCAGTTTTTCATCACCAATGTTAAGAAGCATCATGACTGTGGTAAGAAATGTCAGATCAAATAGGCCTAGGTCACAATCTATTTTAAACATCAGTCTCCCTGAGAGGATTTAAGGGAGGTATACCGCGATATAGCCCTATTTCTTCAACTGGCTGAATATCATTGGAAAAGTAAGGACACTTTTCCAGCCAATTTATTTTTTTTCAACAGTGCTATTACCTGCATTTTATACTATGATGCACTTTACAGCATGCATTTGAGCTCACTTTCCATGCAGCTACAACAGACCACTCTTGATCAGGAAAATTCCACTCTTCCACTCTTGATCAGGAAAACTGAGGAAGTACCAACTAGCTGTAGAACGGACATCTGTCTACCTGGTATGTCACAAAAGCATAGGCTTTGAAAATATTTACAAAAGCACATTTTCTTAAACATACACCCATATGCAAATGATAATTACTAGCTCAGATAAAAATATGTAGTTTGTGTTTGCTGGCATTCAAAATTTGCCACTGATGTGAACAATTTTAGAGATAAGTCAGTGCCAAATGGCTGAACAAAAAAATAGACATTCTTCACACCACCAATTCCATGTAAAACAAAACTGTCACTCCAGCTCGTAGTGTTCACTGCTGATCACTGCCCATTGCCAGACCAGACAGGTATTTCTTTCCACAGTGTGTCCAGAAAGTGCTCTGTAGCCTGACTTGTCAGAGAACCTGCAGAAGGTGCAGAAAAATAAAGTGCCTTTTCCAGGGCTGTGTGCAACGTGACTAACCATCCCATTCACTGTATGTCTGGATTTCTTGAGTCTCGAGCATAGCTCCTAATCTTTTATTTCCCAGCTGGAGCTTGCAAGGCTGGCAACTATTTACAGCTATTCAACTAGTTCATTTGCTTTCCATGCTGTAAAGACTCTCATTGTGTATTAATGAAAAAATATTTACAGTTCATTTATAGGTAAAATCAGTCACCTTAGAAAAGGCTGATATTTCAAGAAGTTAACATTTTATAAAGGGTAGCATTAAATGTATAGCAAGTATTTTGAACAGCTGCAGATTTGAAGACACTGTATGCTACCTTAATGTCATTCGAAGATACCAGCTGACTGTTAAGATCCCATTTTTTCTATAAAGTCAACATGATATGAGAATACCACCCCATTACTGCCGCAGTGAACGCATAGTTAGCCATCAACCCTGACCACATCACAGCTGTCTCATTTTGCTCATTTACCTTAATATACTTGCATGTATTACCATCATTTAAATCTCTCTCCTTAATTTGTCACATAGGATGGCTACAATGAATACCCGTTCACAGGAAAGTCCCCCATTTTCCATTAAATGCATAGTCCCTACTGCAAAGCATTATCTTTGCAAAGCAGCAATCGCTTAATCCTGGTAGGAAGCATCTTTGTCTTCCACCTCCAAAGCTCAGTTTTGTTGCCTGAGAGGGAAATGCTGTGAGGCTCCGTATCTCTTACTGGAAAAGAGAGCTTGCATTCTTCTCAGTGTTTCCCTTCCTGTCTTTAGGACTTGGTATGCATGATTTTGTTCATTGCACTAAAGCCTTCTGTGGACTCTGAGGCAAAGGTGGCTCTTCAGGCGGGGAGTCTGGGTTCAATCTTTAGGGAAAGCTCATACAAGGAATCTTCATCGATGATGAGTGTCTTGTCAAGTAAATAGTGAGTGACCTGGAATGGGGAAAACACAGATGAACAGACTGTATGTTACTTCCACAAAAATTTCTCTGCTTTCCTTTTCCCCTTCAGCCCATTTTGGATCCTGAGATTACCTCATGTTGTTTTCTCGAGAAACAAAATAGCTCTTTTGAATGGTGTAAAGCTCCTCAGCTGCAGCCAGCAGCACTCTAGGAATCACGTTGCTCTTCTGGAGTCTGAGATGAAAACTTCTTTGAGACACAGACTGACTTTGGCCAAATTTTCATCGCTGCCATGAGGCACAAGGGGAAAAGAATTGCCGGATACACAGAGCATCAGCAGATGCTTTGGGTATCTCCTGTGCCCTAATCACAGGATTCTGGGATTCCCTGGGGAATTACGCTTCCAGCTGGGCAGGGAAAACACGTTTCCCTTTGAACTTGTCTCCTTGTACCCCAGACCCATGAAGGCTGCAATCCTGAGAGAGCTTCCAGAGAAGGAGGAAAAAGCTTGCTTCTGTATACAGCGTCAAAAAAAGGGTGTCTGACAGGTGGGGGTATTACAGCCCCAGAGTACCTGTCCATATTTCTGTCTGTCCTCTCCTCTGTGTGTGGGAGCAGAATACATAGATTTCAGCTTTCAGCTTTCAACAATACCTTACAATAGTTACAGCAGCTCTCAGTTCATTAGTAGGTATCAGTGTCTAGGAAGAGCCTTACCTTCTGCTGATGCTCTATGCGGTAGGAGGTCTGCTGGAACTGGCGTATTTCCCTGATAATATGTGAGATCTTTAAAAGAATACAAGTATTTGAGTAAGTAGAACTGTATTTTGACTTAATCTAGGACACAGAAGGCAAGAATTTTGCACCAAATTATGCAATTTATCCTGGGAAGAGGGAAGGGAAGGGCACAGATCATCTCCTAACAGGATTTCACTTTCCTAAATTAACTGTTTATTGTTCAGTCAGTCTCAAGGGAACCACCTCACCTCTCCTCTCCCTATACTGATAACCTCTCTTCTCTTTGCCTCCAGTGACTGCTGCAATTGTTGCCATAAAAAGGGCATTAGCCTAAGATTAGAAGAGAAATTTCTATGCTTCTCTCTGAGGAGTTGTTACAAAACATCACAAGGTAATTGGAGAGAAATCAAGTTTAAAATGCTTTTTTAGATAGACCCTAGCACACTTGAAAAAGAAGATTGTGATTACTGCTTTCTGGTGAATCACTACGTTCCTTTAATTTGGTTATTTCCATTCACAAGCTTTGGACAGCTGCTTTTTCTGTCACTTCTCAGACAATAAATTGGAGGTAGTCACCCAGTAAAAATGCTCAGTTTACCACAAGGTGGTGATAGAAGACTGGGTCAAGTAACGGCCTTGCAGGATGCCAACATACTTGTACCTCTTAGAAGTTAAATTCAAAGGAGTTATAATTAAATCAATAATTCACTCATATAATTAAACACCTGTTGGGAAAGCATAGAAGGAACTGAAAATTACCATTCTCATTTTGGAAAAATTAACAAGACCTTCTTCAGTGAAGTTTGGTGTTCCTTCTTCAATGAATGCCAGGTCTGTCAGGTACATTCCAAGGTAGGGAACGGCAGGTGGGTTACAGCTGTGAAAAAAAGAAATCAGCATATTTGCCTATAGCTACATTTGCAAACTAACTTTTTTTGTAACTTACATAAACTCTTTATTATTTCACATACTTCTAAACAATGGGTCACATTCATTTGTAAGACAAACAGCTTGCGTTGTAGTTGCTCTGCCTGTGACAAGCTGAATGTATTCTGTCAAGTATCTAATGTTAACAGCAGATAACCTTTAGCAAAAGGTGGAATGGTAATGTGATGGAGTGAGAGGAAGTGCAGGTGCCCTCTGGAATCAGAGAACACCTTCAAGCATATTTCAATCCTGGCTGACAGACAATCTGAGAAATAGATCCTATACACAAGCTCAAAACGCACGTGGACATGCTTCTGGGCAGTTGATATTCTGCGGTCATGTATGCATCCTAGTACAGCAAAGGTACATATATGCAAGTGCATGCAAAGAGATGTATACATGTATATGTATATACATGCATATATACATACATATACATATGCATGTATATACATAAGCATATGTCTATGCATGTATGTACATACCACTCTTTCAAAGTCTGTTCAGACTTTCTCAAAAGTGAACACAAAGAGGAAGACAGAGAGGTAGCAAAGATGATCTGGAAAACTGGGAACAAAGACCCTAGAGAACAGGGATTTTCTTTTCTTGGAGGGACAGGAGGAATGGGATAATGACTGTTGCTTCCCTAATACAATAATCACTGCTCCATGCTCACTGAGTCTTGCCTCAGCAGAAATAGCAAACTGAAGCTCAAGCATAAGAAAAATACAGGGTGATAGCTTTAATGTTAACTTAGGCAGACTGCTGACTGTGCTTAGCAGTGCACTTCATTCCGTGTATTTTTTATATTATGAGGGTGGTTGTAGTACACAGGCAAGCAATGTATTCACTAAAAGGTGTATAAAGTGACTGCTTGTATCTCATGAGTAAAAACATTTTTTTAAATTGTTATTAGCTCCACAACAATACTTGTTAAATAAAAATTGACTAACTTGAACTATGTATATTTTGAAACATTACAGTAATTATTTCAGTAGTTCAATTCGTTGCTTATCTCAAGATCATTTAAAGTAGTTGTAGAACTCAGTCCTGGAAAGCCTACTTCTAATGACAGAACTTGCATGCATACAGGTCTTGTATGCATGCAATTGGAGTCAATACATAAATTGTAGAACCCTTACCACAGGATATCTTGGATAATAAAATTACTAAAATAAATTAAAGAAAAAATTATTCAATGAGAACTGTACAAAAAACCAGGCTGTTTTCCAGAGTTGCAGACTACAGGGGGCTGGGAGGGTATAGGAGAGGAAATAACACTGTGCATTTGACCTGTTCCTACATTCCTCTCATCAACTACTGGCCACTGTCAGAAACAAGATAAAGGGGTGAATGGATCTTTGATCTTACTCAAGCTTATCCATAAGTCCTAAACTTCCTATCTGGAAAAAGGACTCTTTGGAATCCTGTTTTTGAATGAGAACTTTTATTTATAAACCTAGCTTCACACTTATTTAAAAGTTTATCAGAGTAAGTAAAACCCCAACAGGGAACATTCACACAGAATAGTAGTTTAATTTGTTTCAGTAATTCTCTGGAGATACTGTATTTATCTATTGGGGGCACTAAATAATGTGATATTCAGCAAAACAATAATGCCAAATAGAATAAAACTAGAATTTAATAGGTTATTAGGTAAAAATATTCTCCAATATTGTATAAATTATTAAAGATTAATCAAAGCCAATTCATAATTAACATGTACTATCCACTGCTTATAACAAAACACAATTTTATAGTGCAGATAAGCATACTTTTTGAGCGTTTCTCTAAGATTTTTAAATCTTCCTTCAGATGATACAGTCTTCTGAAGCTTGTCCATGAGAGCTTTTGTCTAGAAAGAAAATGCATTACAAATGTCATTGCTGTTGGACACAAATGACTGAGACTGGATTTTGGAAAAGGTGTATTCAATTAGCATCTTTTCAAAAGTAATAACACAGGCATTAGGAATTTAGTTTCATTGCAGTTCCTAGGATAGTTCTGAAAATGGAGATGAGGCACCATTAAAGATTTTCCTTTGAGGGATACCCAGAATCTGTATCTATGCTAATATTAGCCTGAAAAATTAGGAAAAAACACAAGTTCATCAAATTAATGGTCAGCAATTCAGTTTACTGAGTATACAAGAATATTAGAGACTTGATTTTACATGTTGCTGAGGATCCTCAGCTGTAGTGACAGTAAAGGATGTTTACTGTCTTGCACCTTGCTTGAAGCTGGTTTTGCCTCCAGGTTTCTGATAAAAGATTAGTGTATATTTGAAAACATATTACTGTCTTACAGAAATTACTTTCAGTGGGCATTATCAAAGCCTGGTTCCTTCGTAAGTGAAATAAATTTGCTTTTCAGTCTATTTACACTATTAACTTGAGATAGGATAGAGAATAATGAGGTATTTGTCATTTTTGAAACTGAATTTCCAATTAAGAGAAAGCTGTAGGCATAACCAGACACCTTCTTTTTCTTCTAAATAGCAGGCTGATGAAACACTGAGATTACATTTCCAATAAGTACTGGAGAACTGTGCAACAACATTAATCTGTTGGTTTTTTTTTTATTTGAGAAATTTTAAAATCAAACAAATTCTAAACATAAAACTTTTTGGATGTAAACTCTGATATAACAGTTTGTATTGAAAGGATTTTTAATGTAATTTTAAATAAAATAACATAGGATCAGCTACAAAGCAGCTGAGAAAAAGCTGACTGGAGAAGACAGTGCAGTCAGAATGTATTTTAAGTGGCTGCTTGAGTGCTTTGCAAAAGCTGCAGAAACATACGGAGGATTAAATGCAATGAAAAAAGCCCACTTTTGCATGTTAATTAGTCAGATCTAAAATGCGCGACCTGAAATCTTCCAATTAGCTGGAGTAAACTGTATCCAAATGCTGCCTAACTTACTGACTTCTAATGACCTCTTTGGCTGTGTTATTTCACCATACTAAAACATTCACTATTTTTTTGAAATAGCAGAAAGCTGAGATTTAAATCATTCAGCCAATTTCAATTTTTTGGGGGGGTCTTATTTCTGTTATTGGCACTCATTCTCACAGCAAGGTAAGGGTTAAAGTGAGGTATTCACTGCATTTAAACTTGGGCCCCTAAATGAGAAAGAAGACCTGTCATTTACAGACTCTTACGTGGTAGCAAAAACCTCCCCACCTTAAGAAGTGCTGACCTTTCTACTGTCTTTCTGCAAAGGCAGGGAAATATGACTCCTATTTTAGGCACCTGAGCTGACTTTAGTTACAGCTAGTAGCCACCTACATGGGTATATCTAAAAATATCTAATTTTAGTTTTCTCAAATATTTCAGTACTTCAGGCTCAAGTCATAGTCTTAGGCACATGCTAATTCAGTTTGTTCCCACAGATATTTAATTAATGATATTTTAAAAAGGATAAATGAAACACGAAAAGACATTGACATGAAATATCAGTACCACTCGGTGCTTCCAGCAAATTTTCAGAGTATCGTAAAAGTAGAAATACTTATGAGAGGAATCCTATCTGAACACATTGTTCTCTGAACAACAGTCTGACCAAGGAAATTTAGAAATTCCTACCCATAATTACATCTTTCTTACCTGTTTGGATACTTTACCCCAAGTTTTCTTAAGTCTGTAGATTGCACTTCTGTTCAAGGCTGACGTGATTTCTAACACACCGTTATAATTGTGCATACATCGACAAATATCTGCTACTGCTACCCACTTTTCAATTGAGTTAGCCCGGGAGCTGACATCTGCGTAATTCATGATTTGGGAGGCAACAAGGTTACTCATCTGATCAAACAAAGAGGAAGAAATTTAGGACATTTAAATACAATCCCTTTCAACATATACTTATTTAATGAACCAGACAGAAAAAACTAATGCACAACAGAACTTATGGCTCTTCATAAGATCAGAGAAAGTCTATTGAGAAGAGTGTTGTAGAGAAGTCGGGGGGAATGAGGATATGAAACAAGCGTAAGAGATGCAATTGGGTGTACCTCCAAGCCAACAGTAATAAAACTGTTTGGGAAGTCTCTCAGTAAAATTCGAGGAAAACGGTAAGGAAAAAAGAAATGGTTGGGGATAAAAGGGCATTCATTAAAGAGAATTGGCGTTCACTCTGCAGAAAATTCAGTTTCTTCTGTAAGCAACAAGGCATTATAGTACATATTAATGTATGTACAGTTTAAAATGTTCTACTCTATTAAGTTGCCATTGAAATCCTATCGGTTCTTGAAAAACGAGAAGCTTTGTGTGCTTTGATTTAAAAGGTTAATCACAAAAAGTCTGTAACATTCAGTCATTATGAGATAAGAAGTTACATCAAATTGTAAAAAACCAGATATTTTGTTCCAGAGCTCATAGACAGTGTCAATATAGAGTTCCTAGAAAGCAATCTATATTTAAGAGTACTTACATCATTAAAATGTTGACTAGTTTTCATAATATAGGGTGTTCGCTCATTTTTATCCACTTTCATCCAGCCCTGCCCAAGAAACTCTCTAGATATTGAGACGAGAGAAAAAAAAAAAGACAAAAACGCCCTTAATAAAAAAAGTAGAGTCTCTGTCTGTAACTGTAGCTTAAGTGGATTTCAAGTATACCTCATTTTTTTAGAAGCTAATAACACAGCTTTACACTAATTCCAGCATTTCACTATACCACTATTAATGCTTTCTGAAGCAGTAAATATTATAAAGAAGATTTATTTTTCTTTTAATCCTCTTCCCCAACCCCTCCATCCTAATTTTCAGTATTGTGACCCTATCTGAAATTGGTCTTGTCAGCTGACATGGTTATATCTATGTTAAACTGCTGTATGAATGAAGCTGATTTGACACTCCCTCCCTAGAGACTCAGCACTTCCATACTATATTCACCCTTCACTAGCCCAGAGCCTTACACCACAGATTTTTTCTTCTTTGCAAAGAACTCAGTCTTTCAAAACATACTCAAACTATAGGGGAGTCAGAGGCAATGACAGAAACAGCCAAAGGACGTTATCCTGTTACGTATGCTAACCTTTTTGTCAGCAGCATGACTTAGTGCAGTGCCTAACACTGCCAGTCAGTAACTCATCCACCATACTCACTTCAGTCACTTGTAGGAGAACACTTACTCATAGGGTATGCTTCGGAAAACTACGTGATCTAAAAGTGTTATTTGCTCTGCAAGCTCCATGGCCGACAAAGTCTCAAAGCACTCTGGTTTTGGACAATCTGACTGCAAAAGTAAGGAGAATACTTAATGATCTCTTTTTGCATCCAAGGACATTTCAAAGCACAGGGCATTAATACCTTCATATGAACTTTCAGCACAGAGTTGTAATTAACTTCTTTGCTAGAAAGAAACAAGAATTAAGAAAAATTGCTAATAGCATAAAGGTAAACATCAGGCAGGAAAATCACAGGAAAACAGGCACATACCAGGTAACGAGTATGTACACAGGTTAATTAAAGTCTGTGCATTCTGTTTTACTTTCCATATAATCACTCTGCACCTAGTTCATTGCCCACACTCTTCTTCGGATTGATGCAATGCACTTATGAGTTGGTGATGACTACAGTTTGGAGGACGGGCATTGTCAAGGCCAGCTATGGTTCTGATGGCAGCTGAGATGGCAGACTCACATAAATAATTTTAGATATACGAATGTCTTTCCCTTTGTTTTTTAAATCATGTGATTTAAATCCAAATCCTAAAGTTCTGACTTGTTCATCTTTGATGTGGGCTCCAAATTCATAGTTTTTCTCTAAACTGAAATGTACATTTCTGATATAAAAGAATGGTATTATGTCTAGAGTGTCAGAGTTGCAGTTGTGCTGCATTTTACTGACTTGGACCCACAACATTTCTATGGGACTATTTGTGTTTAAATTTCAAGATGAACTTACCAACTGAATGATATCTTCTATTTTTAAATGCGCATCATCTTGATCATCCTGAGAAAGAACCCTGAAAAATTAAGTAGCAGAACATCCTATATAAACAAAATTGTTTATGGTTATGAGAAAACCTTATCACAGATCGGCAATCATGTTTATCTGAAATAAATCCTAAGACTGAAATTGAAGATGTAAAGGGAAAAAAAAATCTAGTACCTAATATTTAATGTATTTTTTTAAGTGAAAATGTACAAGATGGTACAACATCAGAGTCACATAAGGTAAAATGATGGTCACAGAGGCTTAAAATCTCTGAGCTGCCAACAGCATATGCTGTAGAATGGTCAGTGACAATAACTACTGTACTTATTTGCTGATTATAGTGCTCAGGTTTCTACAGCTATCCCACTTTGACTTCAGTGCAAAGTTTGGTGGATAAAGAAAAAATCTGTTTTCAAGAACTAGCCTGTCAATGGAAAACCACAACACAATAACAATAATATTAAATCAGAAGCTCCATATCCCGAATAATCCTAGGAAACCTAAAGGTGGAAAATTATATCCCACACCTTCTCTCTGATTTTTAAAATGTTGCGCTACGTAGTATTTTAGGGAAATGTTTGAAAAATCAACACTTGAGAAGTGAAGAAAAGACAGCAAAATAGGTATACATAAAAGAGTGATTCACTGGGAAGTCTTCTTGTTTATTGGCACTACACTGTCCTACTCAGTGTCCCACACAAATAGCTAGCTCTGAGTGTGGAAATGGACAACAAACTACTAGCAAATTTTACTTGTAGCAAGTACATGATTTGTTTTCAGTAACATGCGTTAATCCATGCTTCTGCTACAGAAAACCTGTGACTGTTAGGGTTATTTCAGAGTAAAGGGTCAAAAATGAACCCAGCAGAAGTAATAACTCCTCATCAAACCCATCTACGCTGATGTAGTATTTTGGCATATTATTATCTAACATATTATCCCTTCATTTGGAAAATATAGACTCAAAGAAACCTTGAATAGAGTGGATTTAAATAATATAAGAAAGAGAAGACAGGGAGAAGGAGCAGTATGTTGGTATGTAAAAGACTGCCTATAAAGACACCAATAAAATGGTAAGAAGTCGTGGGACTGATTTGCATTGATGGAGAATTAGTTTCAACATTAAGTTCAATTTTCCAACTGCAAGTACAGGCACACATTGAAACAGGCTTTCTGCAGAAGTTGTAGAGTAGTCCTCAGCTAAATTTTCAAGGAAAGTTTAGATGACCATTTTCAAAGAAGATCCAGTTCTACTGATCTTCCCAGAAAGCACAGCAACTGGGCGAGCTATTTTCTCATGGTCCCTCTAATTCTTTCTTTTTGCACTGTGCAGTAACAGACTCCAGCTGGGGAAAGGGTTAAAAGAAAAGGATTATATTGCCTGGAGACTTTAGCTATGAGAGCAAGATATGGAATTTGTACTATGTGGGTGGGGAGGAAGTGTTAATGCTTAGTACACTAGGTTCTTCTGTTGTGGGTTGCTGTTGCTTCCTTTTGGTTTGCCAAACTGGAGGACTAGGTTAAAATCAAATGCAGATACACAGAGAAAGGATCTAATAAACCTCCTTGCCTTCATTTTCAGTGTATCAAATCCACACAAAATGCCCCTTTCTTCATAGGAGTTGGAAACACCTTATGTCTGACGGGCAAGCCATGCAGTCCTGAATGTCTGCTTCTTCAGGAGAACCCTAAGCTTCTTCTTCAGATAATAAGCGTGCAGCCTCAGTAACTGTAAATAGACTGACAATCTCTCTTTCCTGAGCAGCTTATTTTGTGCTGTATCTCATGACGGATTGCCTGCAGAAGTGTATTGTTCATTGTATGACAAAAGCATGTGCTTCCTGGCCAAAAAAAAAAAAAAAAGGCGGGGGGGGGGGGGGGGGGGGGGCAAGGGACGCCCGGGACCGCCAGTGTTCTCAGTATTCTCAGTAATCTTGTAAACTCACCATTTTTGTTCCTTACATATAACTTTATATTGTCTGGAGTTCTCATATTTGATAGAGAAATTATTGTATTTGCTTAATACAAAATAAAATAGGAAATGAGATTCTTAAAAGGCTGAAAATACTTAACTTTTCCCCATCTTTGCTTCCTGATACTCTCTAACATGACATCTCACATTTTATGTAGACTTCCAATCCCTCATTCTAAAGAGGTGACTGGTGCTTCTTCTGTAACACCATGGTCTCATGAAAAAAATTTCTCCTTTTATCCATAAATGCAACGCATCTCTAGACTGGATAAAGCTACTTTTTGATAGCATCAGTAGTAGCTTCCACTTCAGTCTGCACTGTTGTCAGCTTTGGGATACCTAGTTTCAACAGAGGTCTAGGGCGATATGTTGAGCTGATCAGTTCTGCTTAGGCAATTCCCATTGCACTCCTTGGAAAGCCTCCTGGAAGATGGGTAAGAAGCACATGACTATGTGAAAAGAGTTATGAGAGAAAGCAAAGGCAAAGAGAGATTCTGCCAGATGGTCTACTAGTATCCTTCTTGGGGTGAATGGGGTGACACCTCCGTTGTTATCGTTACAAATGAAGGAAGTAAATATATAAGAAATAACTTTATAATTCGTAGAGTTAGCAGCTAAGATTAGACGCCTCTCTCACTTAAACTATTCTTCATGCTTGACCAGTCTAAATATTAAAATCATTTTCTAGTGGAAAATATTAACATCTGTCTCCTCACTCCTTTAGGGTACATAAAATATCTTAAAAAAATATTTTAAAAGCTGGTGTAAGTTATAGAGCCTGAAATGTATTTTCTGGTGAGCTCAAACAAGGCAGAAAATGGTCATCTGTCAAATTTTGGCCTCTGATTATCCCTGGATTTCATTTACATTTATACTGAAGAAAAAGAAGGAGGAATTGTTTCTTGAACCACCTTTTTTTTTTTTTTTCTCCAGATAGGACTACTCATCAAAGTTATTCACTGCTGTTCAGTCTGAGCTTTACACCTTCCTGCTTCACCATCAATTAAATTTTACCTAGATTTCAGGGGTTAGTAAATAAGGCTGATAAAATCTCAAGCAAAATACACTTCACTACGTTTGCCTAGCTTTCAGAATGGATATTGAATAACAATAAAAAGAAGCTTTTTTACCCCGCAGAGAAGCTCTGTCAATCCATTCAAGAAAAATCTTATCACACAAGAAATACCAGCTCTTCTATTTGATGACTCAAGAAAGCATAAAGCAGCTCATATCCTCTCATAAACACTTGCCTTGCCCTTCATGTTCTATACAGAGTCTTTCCCACAGCTGACCATAATATCTTTGGAATACAAACCTTTTCTCCTCCTCTAACCTCTGCTAACAAAAGGACTGATTCTCCAGGAAATTTCTATGCACCCATATGCACATACACTCGAAGGCTGGGTTATTTTGCAAAAAGAGACATTTGTACCCAATATACTTAAAGAAGACCATGGAATATACACATACATCAGCTCAGACAGAATGAAGTTTCTTTCACAAGTGTTTGAACACTGAACTTATCATAAGAAATGCTCTTCCTAACTTCACTTTGAATTCCTCAACTTTTCTATGACAACTGAAATTCAGGGAAGCCAAGACCTACAGTGAGGGTTGATTGGCAAACCAGAATTCTGATAGACTATATGTTTTGATATGCCAAGGACTTTTAGATATAAAAGCCTGTAGCAAGCCCCTCTTCAGAACAACTAAAAGGCCTATTTTGTGACATTCACCTAGCAATTGGGTGAATTACTATTTTCATGAGGGGCATGTCAACTGGCTCACCCCTCCTTCCCATTTTCATCCTGTCCCAGAGAAGCCCTTCGAGTGAAAGTTTCATTAAAACTTCCAGTTCTGACAAATCTGTGCTTTCACATAAAAAATATGCTGCCAAAAATCTTCAAACAAATTAATTTCTAATAACAGTAAAAAAGCTCTTCAGTTCTAGGTGGGTAATTTATATTCATCCTCTAAGTGGCATTAGATAAAAGCCCCCCATCTAGAAGGAAATCAAAAAAGATAACACATTCCCAAGGTGCTGGGTATGCGGTGGTGATGGACTGAGCAACATTTCTCCAAACCAGACATTGGTATGTGAAACAAAAGAGGAACACAATACCTGGGAGCACCTCTAGACATTTCTACACCAAGAAATACTTTAGATACCTTTAGGACATCCAGGGTAGGATTTGCACTCTCTGCAAGTGACTGCCTGTGTTCTATAACTGTCTCAGAAAGGAAGGTATCTTCTAAGATCTGTGGATGCCTAACTTCAGACAATTTTGTTGGACAGAATCTCCTTCGTGATAGGCAGTTACCTCAGAAGGAGTGCTTCATGAGCTGTCTACAGTTCGTTTTGTGGTTAGGTGCTTCAGTCAGAAACACTGGGTCCCACCAAAGAATTTTTTCTAAGTCAATGCAGAGAAGAAATCCCTTTCCCCTCACCCTGTCATTATAACCTATGGAAGGTTCCAGCAAGGCCGTCTCTTAACATTCAGGACATTGACTGTAATCTGCCATGTTGGCAAATGATAGAAAATCTGTAATCTGATGCAGAAAGAACAAAAACAATGATATGAGGGAAATACTGGTGTAGAACATGCTGCCTCTTCACAATGTCTCATTGCAGTATGGGAGTGTTTGCTTAAAGCTTAGCAGTTCTTGGTCAAGAGGAATATAGTCTTGGTTGTCCCTAATACAATAAAGAGTACTCTTCAGAGACAAGTAATAGAGAGAACTCTCCCAGTTTAGGGAAGAGCATGTTCAACATTTGCTTTGACCAACTTCCACAACCATCCATGGCACCATGGGAGGCATCAGGCATCATAGATTTATCTGTGTTTTTGCATTGTATCTTATTTTAACTGTTGCCTAGTCTTTAAATGTTTATTGTCGCTTAGAAATGTAGAACAATTTACATATAAATCTGTGGCTATAAAGTATTTGCACTTTGCAGATGGAATTATTTTCACTGATAAATGGGTATAAAGATTTGTCTTTTTGGCATGACTACACACTCAACTTTGTAACACCAACCCTAAGTAACAAAATAAGGTGTTCTAACCCTAATTTAAATAGTCATGCTTATGCAGAACCTTGAAGGTCTTTTTATTTCCTGGCACTAATCAAACAAGAATTCCCCTCTGTAAGCTACCTGAAGAACTTTGGACATGGTGTCAAGACAAAGGAAGGTGCAAGCATGGTCTTGTTAGGATGTCATGACAGTCTACCATCAGCCTCTTGCGAGCTTCAGCAGAGTGGATGGCTCATTACTGAGACAGAAGCTCCCTAAGGTATCATAGTGAGCAGTCTTTTTGCTTTACTCGGCAGCATTTTTTCCCTGGTGCATAAAGACTGAACCCATGGCTGCCAGCTGCTCTGCAGCAAAATTTTCTAATGCAGGCATTTTTATGAATGAAACTTAAAACACACTCTGTTTTATAGCTAATAAAACACTTAGTAATCCTTCAAAATTAAACAGAATCATAGAACAGAAAAATACTCTAGATATACAATATAAAAAATACAATAGAAAATACTCTGGAGAAAAAATAAACCCTGTGAATTCTATGATGTATCATCCCCTAACTATTTCGCATGCTAAAGTTAACATACTAAATTATTAGAAATGTATTTACCTCAATATATTTGCAGTAGCTTTCCTTTCTTGTGGCAGAAGGTCAGGGTCTCTTAAAACTTCTTCCAGCAAATTTAACACATTCATTTTCAGCTCATTGTTCAGCTCAAAATCCTACAAAGGAAAACAATTTTACTTCCTTTTGTCTTAGCAATGTTGATCAAATAACTGAAAGCATATACTTTTGTGAGTTTTGCCCTTTTTAAAACTTTTTTTTTTTTCTGTTAGGTTTGAAAATGCTTAGAAAAACTTGAAAAGCTGTTCTAGTGAACAGGCCACAAAAGTAGAAGCCCCGAAAGGCTGTAATTTATCTCATTTTCTGACCTTTCCCTTCTGTGTGGAAATAGGCAAATCACTTAACCTTTCTCTCCTGAAGTAAGAACGGCGTCTCACCAATGCCCTCAAAATACCTTATTCTGTTTTCTCCTGTGATGACTATAAAAGCAGAAAAACAGTTTAATTGCAATACTGAGACCACTGCCTAGTAAGGCTGGACGCTGTTTCTTTTTGTTGTTGTTGTTGGTTTTTTTTTTTTTTTCTGTTCTCTTGAATTTCTCTTTATCTGCCTCCCACTCTGATATTTCTTACCTCACTCTTTCAGAAAGGTCTGATTTTAGTTCCATATAGTGGAGTACTCAACCTAATAAACTGAATAAATGAAACCAATGCTCTCTGGCACTGCATTTAAGACCTTCAGCATTTTAATTACTTCTGAGGCAACCTGATATCTGCCACAGGATTTCAATTCAGGAACAGGAACATGCACTAACCATTTATGTTTGATCTCTGATTTTGGAGAAAATCAAAGAATAGAACAATGTATGAGGTTTAAGGTGGAAAGTTATAGGCAAGTCTTGGAGTAGACTCCAAGAATGCTTGTATTTAGCTCAAAAATAGCATTTTGATAAAAAAATTAAACCCAAAACCTTCAGCCATCTAGTGCATCATAGATCTTCCTTGATAACCCACAGTTACTTGCAAGCACGACCACATTTATGGCAAGCCCCTGCTTGTTTCCATGGGAACAGAAGCCACAAACCTACTGAAAATGGGAAATATTTGGCATCTCTCTGTGTATTTCATCTTCCCGAAGAATCAGCTACAACCCCTTCTGTTGTAGCAGGCTCCTAAATCGACATGATTTCTGGAGACGGGTGCCTCTGGGGAGAACCACCCCTGGTGAAGACACACATCCTCACACCATGGGTTTCAGTTGGGTGGATGTGGGAGCATCAGGGTGCACCCAAAGTCACAAAGGAAAGCGATGCTTAATTTGGAAAAGGGATTAAATACTCAAGATGAGGAGGAGAATGCATGTTCATTAAAGTCATGTGGTGTCACAGCCACGCTTATAGCACTTTTTGAGAAAGTTTCTTGCTCAAAATGTCAGCACTCAGAAATGTCCTGCTGTCAGACACACACCTCAAAGCCAAGAAAGAAATAGTTCTGTGTATTGCAATGTGTTTGTTTTATAAAACACATTTTATATAGCCCTTGTTCAAAATGCCTCCTGTAGGAACTGCTTTAGCATGTTTGCAAAAGAAGAGATAGATTTTAATTTATTTGTGTAGTCTATGGAAATAGGACTAATTAGTGAGAGCATGAGGAGTGTAACTAAACTATACAAGAGTACTGTTCACTCCAGTGATTTTTAAAAGAAAAACATTTGGAATATGAAACTATCAAAATTTAGCTAAAGGAGAAACCTTGAGTCTGCACAAGCTTAAGCAGCCAGTGTAATTAATTAGTAATTAGTATTTTCTGTCCTATAGCTCAATGGTGGACACTACCTAAAATAAGTTAGGTATGTTTGCTAGTTTTGCTACAAAAATATCATAAATGAAAAGAAAAGAGCTGACAAATCTAACATCCTCATTTAGCATGTTAGGTAAAATTCTCTACCTGCCACTGTGAATGGGCAGATCACAACAACATGATCGGGATTTTATCTCCATGTATGTTTTTCAAACCATAATTGGTTTATTATTTTCATTACACAGCATTTTTTCTTAATAAGTCTTGCTTTATTGCAACTACAGTTATGACCAAAAAAGTCTAGATTTTTTTAAAGTTATTTCATTTGTGAATAGGATGGGGAAGCCTCACCAGACTCAGAAAAACCACACCATTTCCAGTTTTTGCATGTTTACTGCCTAATTCTTATCATTAAGAGAATGAATGCATTGTACATTAATATTGTTGAGTAATCTTCACAAAATAGTAGTCCTGGAATCACTGGGAAAACTCAGATTGTTGGCAAGGTACAGGAGAACTTAGTTCATAGGATTAGGGCTATCTTCCACTTCAGTTATGCTGGCTTTGGAAGAAACTCCATAGTGGAAAAATCCACTTTTCTAACCTCAGAAGAACAACCCCTAGACCCTTTATGACCCTTTATCAGCATAGCCAGCTCAAACTATCATGAATGACAGGGATTACAGACAGAGGACGCATTGGTTTGTGTGAGTCTTTCAGTTCCAGCTGCTGTTACACCTCCATGCCAGCCTGACCACAACTAGAAGATGTCACTTCATAGCACGGCCTTCCCACAGGACAGACCTGGCCCTCTGTCCATGCAATTTCTGCAGCTGTTGTCTTACTGTCTAAAATATATTTTTCATGCCTGGAGATATTATTTTTTATAGCAATGATGTGCCAGCTGCTTCTTATGATGTCAGGAGAAAAAAAAATGAAAAAAGGTGGTATTCAGAAGAAAACTGCAGACCTAATCTGTTTTTCTGTTGAAGTTCATGATTTAGGGGGTACTGAGATTCCAGTGTGATGAGCAATATATAAAAAATCTAGGGAAATAATTGCACTTAAACATGTACATACACTTAACTCTATAGAGAAAGGTTAACATGGAATTATACAAACACCAAAATACTTAGCAACCAATTCCAAATATAATTTATAGAAAAATAATGATAAATAGATGCAGATTGTACCTCTCTGTATTATAGGTGTTATATATGAATATATGTTAAAATATCACATATGTATATCTATTTATAGTATAGGTACATATAGATCTATATGTAGGTATATATAGGTCTAGATGTATTGTATATATGTATATCACATCTATATATATGATTTTAGATCACTCTTGTAACATTTTTATCTGTTATATCAGCTGTTAATACATTTCACTATTTCTTCCAGTCATTGTAAGGACTCCCAACAAGACCCTGCCACCATGCTCAGCAGTGAAGGCTGGCAAGCCTGAGTTAACCTGCTATACTGGCTTACATTTAAATTGCTGCATGTGCTAGACTACCTCAACGTTCAGAGAGACTTTTAGTTAAAATTTATGTATCACAGAAGGAATACAGTCGGTCAGACAAGAACCACTCAATTTTCCAGCAGGCACATTTCAAATTGGCAGAGGTATAATCCTTCAGGAGAACGCGTGTACCTCTAACATATTTTACAGTCCATAGTAGCCTAAATATTTGTGGGTCTTAATCAGATTTTCATTTGACTTAAGCAGAGAAATTAACTAAAATTTCCAAGAAAAATTTACACTTCTATTTTTAAGTCCATTACTGTCAGTAATGGGAAAAGATGTTTCTTCCCTATTTATTTAATAATTATAATCCAAAACCACTTATGAAATGTGTAGATATAGAAAAAAATGACAGCTGATGAGTTAAGTAGGAGGTCTGCCCTGGAGTCACCTAAGATAAGAATAGGACGTACGAAGTTCCCAACTGATCAAAAGCACTGTGCACCATGTTCAGCACCACCTAATAAAGTTTCCAGCAGTAGAATACTGCAGCAACAGAGAAAAGTGTATTAGTTTTCCTGTCACCACCTGCACTATGAAAGCAAAAGCCTCCTTTGTAACTGCAGAACACCAAAGTCAGCATGATGACATTTTAAGTAGACTCATAACCAGCCTGTTGACATCCACCATGCACAGGATCAGACAGCAATGTTCTCGTTACAAAATGCAAGTACATTCCCTTGCCAGGAGGAGCTAGGAAAGCTCTGATGCAGAATGAGAAGTGCTTCAGAAACAACCTATCCCAGCTGCTTTAAAAAAAGGAAAGAAAGAAAAAAATTAAAAAAAAAAAAAAAAAGAGGAGATGATGGATTTGGAATCACTGGCCAGAAGAAAAGGGACTGCAGCAGAAGCACTAAGAAGCAAGAAAAAGAAAACTTAGTTATGCTGGGGAGGTACAACTAGAAACATGTAGATTTACTATTTTATACAGAGAATATAACTTTCAAGTTTTGACACGGGCTCAGTGAAAGTCCAAAAGCTTTTCCTCCCTTCTTTCCTTAAATCTTCCTAAGTGAGAGGAAACATTCTTCATTTAAACAATGTGAGGAAACATGGAATAACCCAGACAAATCAAAAAACCTGAGAACCTAATTTATATTTGAATACGTCAGTGATAAGGACTACAGAAAGCACTGGAGAGAGGGAAGGAAGGGGCAGGAGGGAAGAGGGGAGAGAGGAAGGAATTGTGCATGGAGAGACTACAAAGAAATTCCAGAGGGAACGCCTTCACAGAGTTGCATCATCCAACTTCAACATAACCCTACACACTTCATGTAAAAATAATCTCACCTAAATTTAGCTCTGGAACTAGAACAAACTTTTCCACTCCTCAGGCACCTGCTTACAAGGCAAAAAAGCCACCTGGTAGGCTGGCTTTGGCACCCTGTGATGGCCATGTGAAGGGCAGGAGGAGGAGTATGAGTTGTCAGGATAAATGCAGCACTACTCCCTCATGACAGTCTTTGCTGAATGCATTTGGACCCGTTTTATTAGTTTCTCTCTCTTTTTAATTCTAATTTTCTGTTATGCAGTACTATGCTCTGAGGAGATCCCAGAACACAAAGTTCCACAGATGCTCTGGCCAGCCTTGGTGGAACGTGCCACCCGCCTGAGTATCACACCCTGGGCTGGCAGCGCTCGTGACGGACAGAGCGATGGCTCTAGCCAGCTGTCCAAAAGTGCCCCCCAGGCTGGAATCCTTTCTTTAAGCAGGGAAGGAAGGGAGCTGATTGCTTTCCAGTTCAGATTCCCAGCCCTGGCACACACAGCCCACAGTCTTTCCACAGACACTCCCAGATGTAGCTGGTATTATCACTACATGCAA